TTTTTACTAAAACAAAGGTTACATTAACGTGCACATAATAAAAAATAAACTAAATTTTAGTTAAATTTAATACATTTCTTAAGTTAAATTATTTAACTCCATTACATTAGTTAAATTAATGACATATTTAGTAGGAGCAGTGGCGACTTATAGGAATGGTTAAAAATAACTCAAATTGAGTATAATTTAACACTACGGATTTAACAGTGAAGTTATCAGTTTCTTTCATTTTATATTGCGACGATAACGCAATAAAACGTATCTTCTTAAAGTTACAAAACAACATTGGCAAATAAATATCTCAAGGTGTTTCTTGGAAGTATAATTAATAGCATAATTGATAGCAAATCGATTGCAGATGATCATGCAGATATTCAAGAATACAGCAATTCAGAGTGACTTACTTTTAAAGATTAAATATTTACCTAAGTATACATACGCCTTTCTATGTAATTTTATTATTTTTTACTAAAAATACAATTCAGTTACATCGATTTTTCCTATCAAATTTTCTAATTCTATCAAATCTTTCAAATGGGTTAGATTCTCCTTTTGTGAAAAAAGAAAAACATCTCAGTTCTCCGTGAATATTAAGAAACTATAATTCTGTGATAAGACTTTGTTGTGAATATAGATAGACTATTCGATTATATTATCGTTGGGGTGAACCAAGATTTAATATAATCCCACCGCTTAGAATGAATTTCAAAACTGCTTCTCGCATTCGATGTACCTAATGACATATATATCCGGTCTAATTAGAACGGAAGCGGAACGGATAGCGTGAAAAAAAGGGGGAGAAAAAAATAAACGAAATAAAAGGGAGAATAAATGTAAGATACACGTGGCGCTGGTTAGAGAGGAGATTATGCGGGATAGGACGAAGGACCGCGGCAAGTTTTAATAACCGGAGGGCGGAGAGTTAGTGGATGATAAGTTAAAATCTAAAATTCATTAAATTGAACCGCCAGAGGAGTGTCGCGCGCAAATTTGTAAAGTACGATACTGCGTGCCTTATAAAGAAGGCGCGGCTCGCTCTACGGGCTGCCGTGCCGGCGGTGGCGCGGCTGTCCAGCACGAGTGACGGTATTAACTTTTTAATTGCTTTGTTGCACCCATGGCGCCCGGGCGCACGGACGACGAGCGCGATTATGAATTTTTAATCTATCCTTGAATCTCGGCCCGCGCCTTACGACGCTTGCAGCGAGGGCGACGCGGTGATTATCCGAAAGAGTCGTAAACACAAAGTTGTCACTCCGCGCTCTTAAATCAAACCGACACCAGGATTGCGACGATGTAACTGAGGGAAAAAGAGGGAGGCTCTCTTCCTCGAACACTCTTCCTAGCGGGCACAGATCACTCGCGTATATCCTCCGCGTTTCGGGCATATTTACACGCGGAAAGGCGTGCGCGCGTGTGAGAAATAAATCAATACAACGCGTACGGAGGCGCGGCCGCTTAAAGCGCCGATAGAAAGTTTCGCGGAATTTAAATGAAGATTGACGAAGTTTCGAAATTAATTCGTATCGAGCTCTGAGTCGTCGTCTCGTCGAACGCGACACGATTCCTTCACGGTGTTGCTTGAACTTATGTAATAACCTTCCGCTCTCGCCAAGTCGCCTCACCACCGCGATGTACCTGATAAATATTAAATTCGTGTCCTTCCTCCACCGGAATAACGATAGAGCGTCCTACCTTGCAACGAATTTGAGCGACTACACACTTGTGCGCTCGCGTGTAACAGTTTCATGGATGTAATAATTTATACGTACACAATCCTCTTTTGGAGGAAAACAAATAATACCAATACTTGGCTCACGAGCCACTTCAGGTAGACAGGTGTACGTAAATTTGGCAATAGCTTTATCAATCGATCTGTGAAGGTTACTTTTCTTATAAGTGGTTCATATATCATTTATGTATTATATAAAATGGACGAAATAGAAATACGAAAGAAACGATGAAAATGTGCTTAAAACGATATCATGCGAAATGTAACATAAAAATCTGAATGTAACTTTTAGTAAATGTAACTTTTAGTAAATTTGTTGTTGTGTCAATAAAATATAAAATTTATATTATTATCATTATCATGGAAATTTATATAATGATTAAGTTAATACAGTATATTTGTCTGATAAATATAATTAAAAGGATTGAAAAGTTTGCATCATCGATTGTGTGTGTCTTACTTCGTGATAATCATGAAAACTAATAATTTTTGCTAAAGATTTCTTTTTGCATCCAAAAATCATCTTCTTGTGGTGATGGCGGTAACAAATAAATGTTGAAGGAAAAGATTTTATTAAAGAATATTAATGCACATGTAAGAATGGTGCTTGTACTGTAGATGCCCATATTATGTCGATAATTTGGATCTAGGATATACTAAATATCTTTTTAATGATATACGGATACTTTCTGAGCATAGTAATGACATATTTACGTTATGTTAGACAGTTTTGATGATGAGCCATCGAATAAACAAAATAACATCATTAGGAGGTAAGAACTACTTTCGGCGGGGGTTTGAGAACCTAAAACTATTTTTTTCTTAAATACTACCATTATTATCTACAAAATTATATATGATTGATGACTGGACGACTCAAAATGGACAAAGTTCTTTGGCAGCAACTTTACTAATTGATTTATGAACATTGTGTCTCTTTTGAATGGTTCATATAGCACTAATATTTTTTTATAGAATGGAAATAGAAATACGAAATGAAATGCGAAAAGAATTATGAAAATCAAAACAATATATCATGTAAAATGTAACATAAAATTTGAGTGTAATATTTAAATTTGTTGTTGCATCAATACAATAAAGATTGATCATTGTATGATGGAAATTTAATGATTAAATCAATACAGCGTATTTGTTCCATAATTAAAATATTATAAAGTTTTTATTACCGGCTATTTCACGTTGTAACAATCATGAAAGTTTATTTTTAGTATAAATACTATTTTTTTATAGTTATTTTTACTTAATTAGCAAATTTTCTTATCAACAAGAAAATAAAGTAAATTAAGTAAAATCAGCTGTTTGTTAATTGCTTCTTAACAGTTATGAAAGTTTATCTGGACATGTGTTGATATTATTTATTTTATTTCTTGGAGCCACATGTTCATTTTCTTTTTGAAAAAATAACGGATATGGAAACGTATCAACACGTGGAAGAATTATAATATTGTAATTTGCATATTTGTTCACAATACGATATTAAAACATGCTCTGTCATTCCTTTTGTTTCAGTTGACCTCATACAAATGCTGGAGTTTAACCTGACTGTGCCATTGCCAGCCGCCTCCCTGCTGACAGTAATTTTGGCACTAGTGGGTAAGTTTTCGTGGTCCATTTTATACAGAGGTTCATTCGGAGGAATATTCGTGTGACATTCTAATTACTTTATCACTCTCTCTCCCCTCCTCTCTCCCTCCCTCTCTCTTTTTTGGTCATGTTTTACCTTGGAAACGGGGTAATCTCATTTGTTTTAAGGGAGGGTCGAGGATGTTAGAAAAATTAGCTTTATACTACGCGTGTTCCTATGCTTCTTTTCTCTCTCTCGTGTAATGAAAATAAATCGTAGAGAACGCGACCTTCGCACGGAAATCAAATTTATATAGGATAGTTAAGTGTATGATCTCCGTCGTTCTCTCGAAGTTGAACCCTCATGCATTCGTCGTTCTTATGCCAAACGCTACTTGAAGATGGCTTGATGGACAAACTGACTCATCCTATTCGGCCGTGAATGATCAATTGATCACGGATTTCTCTCATTCGTTCTCGGAGCTATGTCGGAGCTCGGTCGCGACGTAAGCCGCACACGCGTGAAATATTAAATACCTTTTTACTAAATCAGGGTCGCCCTCGCTCTCGTTCTCTCGTCGGTACGACGTTAGCTCAGTTACAAAGCTGATTGGCCGGGACGGTTAACCCAGGATTCTG